TACGCTTGTCGTGCCAAATTCTCGTGCCGACACGCCCTCGTCGCCCGCTCAGCACCATGCACGCGTGTTTCCATCACATGTGCAACCTCCCCCAGGACGACAAGAAGCAAAATCAAGTTCTCCCTTGTCAAGCACAACCACGCTGACCGTGTCGTGCTGATGCCCACTGCACGCAACGTGTTGCGCCCAGAACTGGAGCTTGATGCCAGGCTTGAAGACGACGTGGAGAGCGACTTTGGCTTTCAGATGCCTGGGCACCCCAGCGGCAAGAGCGTGTCTGCTGCCGAGCTCTCGTTGCTTTTCTCGCCCCTGGACCCCGTCACACGACGCAATATGGCTGCAATGAAAGCCCGGTGGACAGCACCTGCTCAAGCCCCTGCTGCTGGGGCTCCTGCTCAACATAGTCCTGCTGGTGCTCCTGCTCGTGCTTCACATGCATCGGTTTCCCATGTTGCGCATACGGCACATGCTCCAGCTCCGCATGCAGGCAGTCGCAGCCACGATTCTGGGTCCGCTGAACCGATGCAGGTCGACCAAGCAGAACGCACGCCTCTCTCTGCTCTTGGTGACCGCCCTTCTTCTTCTGTTTCGCATGCAGGGCACGTGCAACCCCCGCATACAGTCAGGCGTGACTGCGCTACTAGGTCTGCACGACCGCCGCAGACTCCTCCTGGCCGCCCTTCTGCTCAACAAGCAGCCTCCGCAGGCCTAACCGAACTTGTTCAACGACCGAGGCCGATCCTGATGAAGCGTCTGTGGGCAAGCATGTGGACAGATCCCCCCGAGGCAATCGAAGCTGAGCTCGCATGGCACCCCAGGCCTAGAATTCTCGCGTACCGTTGGCTCATGAGAGCCTGCCAGCCCTTGCAGTTCACACCCCTGCGGGTCTCACCCACAATCCCAGCCGCTACTCAACCGCCCGACAACGTGTCTGCAGAGTCGACCCAACCGCCCACCGAACTGTCCGCCGAGCCGATGGCTTTGATCCCCGCCACTGCCCAACCGCCCGTCAACTCGTCTGTAGAGTCGACGGCTTCAATCTCAGCAGCTGCCCAACCGGCCGCCAACCTGTCCCCGAAGGCCTTGCAAACTGTGCAGGAGTTCCTTCAGCTCTATGACAGGAGCATCCCGATCAAGCTCAATTCGCCTGGGATAGATGCGTCCGAGCATCTGCCAGCGAGACAAGTCTTGAAGCCCTTCGACGACAAGGGCTCTGAGTGGATGTCCGCTGAAGCGCTTGACTTTTGCTTCGGGCGCCTGCAACAAGCAAACATTACCTCGCAAAACGGGGTCAAAGTCACCTTTTGGGTATGATGTGCGTGTGTGTGTGTGTTAAGGTTGGACCGCGGTTGCTTGATTGCGGAGAGCGGCGACTCACAGCATGAGGTAATCGATTGCCTAAGCAGCAGACCTTCGACGCCAACGGGACTGCTGACATGGACAGATCACTGCGAGGCCACTCCAACCGAGAAATCAGGTTCTCGGAGTGCAACGATTCATTGTCTGACACAGTCGCTGCATCGGAAGATGGCCTTGTCATCTTTCCAGCGAATCGAGAGCAGCACTGGTTCCTCGTTGTGCTGCATCGGAAAACCTTCACCATCCGCATTTTCGAGGGACTGAAGAAACCGGCTCTCGACCTTGTCGAAATTGTTAAATCGTTCTTGCCGGACTCGACTGAATGGAGCTTTGTTCCCGAGCCGGGTTCTATCTACGGGCACCAAGGGCCTGGCCAGACGGAGAAACCTCCTTGGACTTGTGGTTGGCTCGCCTTGTGGATGGCCGAGAGGATTGCACGGCTCGGCGTGTCAGCAGAAGACTTGCAGGCATCCACGTCTAACCCGTGGCCGTGGGTCCCTACCGATCCACCTCCGCCCACCGTTGGTCAACCTTCTAGATCTCAAGCCGTACCTCCCTTGTCGCTCCTGATTGCCGAGCATGTGCGGTTCAAGTGGCTCGCTGATGCCGCCCGCTGCTGGACACCGCACGTAACGAAGGCTTGAAGGGTGTTTAGTCCGCTGCTCTTGTGTTTTATTGTTTAATTTATGTATTTAATTTCATCTATTCCATATGGGTACGGTTTTAGACGATTTAGCTAGCGTAGACAGACGGAGTTGGTTCAGCAAAACTAGCTCGCCGAAGAAACATGATTCTAGGGGTACAACATTCGTTTCATGCCTCATCCTGGATAGCCACGTAACTAGAATTGATGCTACTATCGGTTACATGTCATAGACCTGGTCTGAAGCACGATCTGTTGGAGGTAGATCAGCTTGAAGAGACAGACTCAAGCGCGAAGAGGAATTCAGCGCAGTCAAGTTTCTGCCACCAGCCAGTGCTATGGACTAGGCCCACTAATCACAGAAAACGATACAATACTGATAAACATGGATGGGGATGGGACCTTGAGGCGTTCATGCACCCCAAAGCCGCGGTCGAGTCACTAAAAGCAAGTCTCATCCCACGACAAGAAGCGCAAGTACCAATGGCCACTAACGGCTATGATTCAAATGTAAATTATCTGACAACACTTTTAAAACCTTGAAACTTGTTGTATCACGGCAGTGGTGGTCACACGAGGAGCGTCAAGAAGACCATTTGCACGATTCGCTAAGTCGGCTTCTATCAAGTGGAATCGGTCGGAACAAAAGCAAAGCAACTCTAACACTATTGCTAAGTATTATCACGTACCGGTGGCAGCATGGGCGGCCGGTAAAACGACCGGGCACTCGATCCATGGTTTTGCGAGTTGGCCGAAACTTTGGCCTCCTCCCACTCCGCATGATTTAGTACCACATCCGCCCCTCCGCAGATGTGATGTCTAATGCACGTCAGAAGCAAGAAAAAGTTACAATATCAGAGATCGGACGATGCTGGACAAAGATCGAGCACCCGCCAAATGGGTCATTTCCGACCCTTCGTGATCCACCCTCCAGATATCACCGCAATTCCGCATCAATGATTTAGACTCTAGTACTAATTTACTGTTGTCTGGTAAAATATTTCATGGATGCGACTCGGAAATCGCAAGTTAACGCCCGTCGAATGTTTGGTCGGGTGCATCAACTAGACACCAACGATCACTGTCCACGCGCGATATAGAGCGGATACTTTAGAGTGTATAGAGTACATTGATATATGGCTGGTCAAGCTCCTAGGTGTCTACATGGCTGGATACGAGTGCGAAGCCAAGTCGGACGCATCGTGCGGCATCTCACTCGCCATAACGGTTTCCAACTCATCAGACATTGAACAATCGGAATATGTATGGATTACACGGACAGAGCTGGTGAAAGGCATCGATCTCGGGGCTAGCAGGTTTTGGACGAAATTCGAAAGGCCGATTCAGTCCTTCTTCGTGCTATCGAGCGCTACCGCCCGACCGATCCCGGATTCATATACATCATGCCAAGCGCTAACTTTCTATACTAGAGGTGGCGCTAACGGGCTGTCCTAGTCGGCGCCCTGAGGGCTCGTGGACGGCTGTCCATATCCAGCAGTCGGACACTGCCCCAGGCCCGCCCGTTCAATGGAGGTACCAGACCCATCTATTAGATTTTTAGAGACCATAATATCGGCGGTGGGTGCGGTCTAGGCCGAGATCGAGCGGTCGGCTTGGCCGCGACGGACCCGAAACCTGGTGCGGCCTCCAGCGCTTCGCTCCTGGCCGTCTCGCACATGATTCTATATCTAAAAAATCGGCTCATTCCAATGGTGTACAGTAGAAGGGGCTGCAGTGCCGTTTTGAGGGACCTCGTCACCAGGTGCGACACACAAAAAGGGGGTATCCGTACACGACGATGCAGGTGTCCCCCGTCCTCGCCAATGCAGCCACGGGGTGCTGTCAGGTCATGTACAAACCTGATGGGGTCAGGGCGGCGGGCGGTGGTGCACAGTGGCCTCAGTGAACTGGGGAAAAATTCCCATTGCAAAATGTATACCCGCAAATTTCCTGGTGAACTTTATGGCCTTTTTTTCTCGACCCGACTTGAAAGCAATGTATCACTCTTTTGATAAACCAAATCACGAATCACAGTGCAAGAACATGAACAAAATCCCAAAAAACAACAACAACAACACAAAAAGCCAACAACTCTGACAAATCAAGCAAACGATTGCTCGTGAACACGATCACGCTTGGACTGAACGTCGGCCTCGCGAACCAAACCTGTGGGCAATGGAAGATAGTAGTGCCGGATGTACTTGGCCAGGTACGATGGGAGCAACGCAGTCACGCTACAGAGCAGCAGGGTAAACCAAAACACGCCCGTTGTCATTGCGTTCTCCATCACAAAGTAGGTCGACTGCTGGATTCCTGCAATGAGACCCAGGAGCAGCTCAAAGACAAAGTACACGGCAATGCTCGCCCAGAGCGCGATATGGTGGTACACTGTCCATCGACGCGTTTCCAGACCCAGGTACAAGAGCACAATCACGACACAGCACGAGCTGAGAATCATGCCGAGAGACTGGTAGTCGGCGAGCTTGGTTTGCTGGTACGCCGCCACAGAAAAGAAGAAAATGACGCACGCCTGGTACAGGCTGTTGACGAGCACGACCCAAAACTTGCGTGTGCTAAAGTACAGACTCTGCATCGAAAATTGGTAGAGCTCTGGGAAACGCATCAAGGCCTCGGCCGGCGCATTTTGGTCCAAAACGGCGTTGACCAGCGGAGGCACGGATGTAAACAGCAGGTTGTAGAACAGAATCGTATACTGGTCAATGATGGGCGCGCCCGTAAAGCCACACCAAAACTGGAAGAGGAAAATGACAAACACAAAGGTTGCGTTCTTGTACAAGAAGTAGAAAATCAGGGACGCCAGGCGATAGTAGCTCCAGTGGCCGTGGACGAGCAGCAAACGCACTAGGAAGCGGAACTGCGCGATCGCAAAGTCACTCGCCATGACCGCCTGCATGCCCTCCTGGCCGCTAATCCCAATCCCGACGTCGGCAGTCTGAATCATGCTCACGTCGTTTGCGCCATCTCCCACTGCCATGGTCATTGCGCCGCGGCCTTTCTTGACCATGCGGACAACTCGCGCCTTCTGCAGAGGAGTGGCTCGGCAGCAAATGACGACACGGCAGAGCGTGGAGACGTTGAGCAGCAATGGGCGAAGTTTATCGCCGAGTGCGAACGCCAACGAAGCGCCATCGATGATGAGCGCGTGTTGGGTTGATGAAGTCACTTCCGTTGCATCCTCGTCGCTGGAAGCATCGTTGTTGCTCGAGTGACTTGGCGCTGCTGGTGCCGATGATGGACTTTGTTCCGGACTGGTAGCTCGTTGCGCGCTTCTGCTGCCGCTGAGGCTGACGCTTGTCGTGTCGACTGAAAGCTCTTCCTCGCCGTCCGAAAATCGATCTCGCCACTGCTTGGCAAACCCGTTGAAAGCTGCCATGATTTCGCTCGACTTGCGGCCGTACTTTTGGTGCCAGGGCAAATGAAGCAGCAGGTCTTGCTCCTCCTGCACGCGGCGAGCAGTGCGAAGCTTGCACTCCCATGCGTCCTTGAGCTGGGCTTCGCATTCATCTTCATCCGCCGCATTGATGACGACATGTGGCATGCCTTCCTCTAGCAGCTTGCACGAAAAGCCGATATTGATGGCGGTCTCTTGCTTGTCGCCCGTCAGCACCCAGACCTTGATTCCAGCAGCTCGCAGCGTTGCTATGGCGTCTGGTACGCCGTTCTGCAGCTTGTCTTCGATGCCAGTGGCGCCAAGCAGCGTCAGCTCGTTTTCGATCGAGTCCGCAGAGGCAGACACCTTCTCCTTGCGGTCTTTGAGCGCGAGTGAGGCTTGTCGATGCTTGAGCTGCCACGTCTGGTACTCGCTGTCGCTCAAGTCGCGATATGCCAAACACAACGTGCGCAGTCCGTCCGCCGCGTAGTAATCCAAGTGCGTCTGTGTGTCGGCTCGGACGCGGTCGTTCTGTTCATTCTGAGCCAGCCTCTCGTAGATGGCCGAGTCGGCGCCTTTGGAAAGCAGCCGGATCTGGCCCGAGCGCGGCAACTGCACAATCACAGACATGCGCTTGCGGTCAGAGTCGAACGGAAGGACATGCAGCAGTCGCAGTTCCACGGCTCGATCGTCGTGAATCAGCACGCGCACACGCTGCGCCGACCGCATGAAAAGCGTGTATCCGTACTGCCGAGCTGCTTGAACAAGTGCAGCCTCGTCGGGCGATTCGGCTTCGTAGACAATCTCGGCGACTTGGTCTGCGCTTGGGACGGCGGCGGGCGACTGAGACTGTCGTACTGTTGTTGCGGCAGTGGATGTTGCCGCAGATGTGGCAGAATTCGACGGTCGCAGTGTCGATGTGCGGGTCGGCTCGTCCACGCTCGGGCTGAGATCGATGCTCACATTTGCGCTCGGAGAGATGGCCATCTGGCGGCCCGAAACGGAGAGATGTGGAGGCAACGCGCTTGCACTGGTGCGCTGGACTGGCTCGGTTCCACGCCTCAGATTCTCCTGACTTGCTTCGAGACTCGATGGCTCCTCAAGGAGGACATCCTGAGACTCGCGAGGAATGGCTGTCTCAGGTGGAGCTGTCTGGCTTTGCTTGCTTCGTTTGAGCAACTGTTGCAGCATGCTCTTTCCACGACTTGGTGGAGCGCTGCGATGCAACGGTGCCTCAGAGCCCGACGATTCCACTTCCTCCGAAACTGTCGCCTCCTGCTCGTCCTTGCCCTGCTGTGCATGCTTGTTGGCAGATTTTCTGGTCATTTTGCGTGCATGCAGCTTGGCCTGGCGTCGAGCCCGGCGCTTGGCCTTGAGGTCTTTCATGCGCTGCTTCCAAGCACGCTTACCGCGCGACTCTTGCTCTTGGGGGCGACTGCTGGATGGCGCGCGAGGGGATCCCGGCACGACCGTGTTGCAAACGGCCAGTGCAATGAAAAAGTTTTCCATGGGATCGTCTTCTGTGGCCTCAGCGGCGGCTTTGACGAGTACGGGATCGACAGTCATTGCGTCCGCGTTGCTTGTCGCGTTGGCGTGGTCGGGCTCGATGGACTCGGCAGATTCGTCCATGCTGAAGGGCGGTGGCGTGGGACGCTGCGATGCTGCCGCTGTTGCATGGTCGCTGTCCGGAGAAGCCATTGGCTGCTTGCCCCTGCCTTGACTTGGCGAGCCATCTCCAAACGAAAACGCATGAGGCAGCGTGTGCGGCTCGGCGTGCCCAGAGTAGTTGGTCCCGTTCACCGAACATTTCCGAAACACCATCTGGTTTTGCGTCAGCGTGCCGGTCTTGTCGCAAAACAGGTACTCAATCTGGCCCAAATCCTCGTTGATGTTGAGCGCACGGCACATGGTTCGGCGGTCTGTTTCAGGGTGGTACAGCTCCAGGTCGCAGCTAATCAAGTACGCTTGCGCCAACTTGACAAGCTCGATAGTAATGTACAAGGATATGGGAATGATAACCTGCAGCACGATAATTTGGGTCCAGAAGGTCAGAAACCCAAACAGCGCCGGCGACGGATCGCTCGAGTCAAAGTAAATGTAAATGCTGCTGGGATTGTGGTCGGCGAGCCAGACGCCACTGAGGATGGCAGAAAGCAGCGACATGAAAAGGAGCAGCCCGATGCAAACAAGAATCTCAAGGTTCATGCTGCGCTCCAGCTTTGAGCGCTTCGAGCGAGGCCCGCTGTTGTTGAGCATGGCTTTTGTGTCGGGCCCGGCATAGACAATAACGCCAAGCACCCATTGCGTGTTCCGGAGAACGCACCCACGGAGAATCAGATTGGCCGAGTTGATGGGAATGATTGACTGGCCTTGAGCGTCTGTGGCAGATGGCCTTGAACGGCTACCTTCAGCAGAAGGAGGGGCTCGGGATGGAGTGCGGCTCGTGCGTCTGCCAATAGAAGATCGATATGGAAGCGAGTGAAACTGTGGCAGGTCGTCGTCGTCGTCGTCGTTATCGTCATCATCATCAGTCGAATTGCTTTGAGAGCTGTTCGACTCGGATAGTTCGCTTCCCAAACCCTCATCTTCAGTGACGGTGGTGAGGTGCGCAGTAGAGCGCATCGAGTAGGTCGAATCATCGTCGTGCCTCCGCTGTTGCGGTCGCTGGTGTTTGGCAGCGTGTCGCTCATGGCGCGCAGTCGACCGTGCTGACATGCGTTGACGCTCCTCCTCGAGATTCTGCTCGGCCTCACGCATTTGCCGGTGCAACTGTTCCTGAAGCTCCTTGTCGGTGGGAATGTGCTCGCCGCCAAGCACCAAAAAGCCGTCAAACTCGTAAATGTTGGCGTGTGGTAGTTCGCAGACGATTGTGCCTTGGAAATCGGCAATGTCCTTCTTGCACCGGTCGACGATGGCATCAACATTTTGAACGTTTTGCACGTTTCGTTGTGGTTGTTGTTGTTGCTGCTGCTGTTGTTGTTGTGTGGCAGCATAGTTAGGGATGACATTGGGCTGAAGCGCGGTCGAGCTGGTTGGCGAAAGATTCGGTGGTGCTTGCTGGTTTTGTTGTTGTCTGCGACTTTGCGGAGCGTCGCTCGTGTTGCCTACGGACGGCCCTTGCAAAGAGCCAGCCGCTGCGGACAGCAGCTCTGAGCCGGGGAAGGACTTGAAGTGCTCTTGAGTTTCATCCACCGCCATGCGCTGTTTCAGATTCGTTTCACCGTCCAGATTAGCCGTTTCGATGAAGCACATCCCGTGGTTTTCGGATGTCTGCAGCACAACCATGTCTGCCGGAATGATTTCGTCCTTGCGGAGAAGCACGATATGCCCAACTTTGAGCAGCTTCCACGCCGTGGAAATGACCACTTCCGAGACGAGTTTGCGGTCGGAGGATGCGTTGGCTTCGTCGCTCGCCGAGTGGTGATGTCCAGTCAGGTGGAGGTTGAGATGCAGGTGAGGTCTCAATCGGCGAAAATGCTCTTGTTCCTCGTCGTGCTCACTGCCACCACCGCCATCACCGCTGGGTTGATGCCCGTGGGCGACGACAAGGCCGTGTTGCAGCCGGTTGTTCACATCCGTGTCGGAGCGATACCGCCGTCGGTCTTCGTAAATGTCCTTGATCGCAGTGACTGCAAGTACAAACAGCAGAGGGATCATGGCCAGCTCGCGTCCGAATGCTCCAATCGCGGGGATCCAGTTGAGAACGACGACCACCAAAAAGTAAATGTTGGCAAACCGATGAAACTGCTCAAACAGATTTTTGGGGAGAAAGTTCCACCACGTATACTTTGTGGTGCGAATGCGGTTGTCGGGCAGCGGGTGCTTGTCTGTTTTCGCGAGTGTGGATGTGCGTTCAGCGTTGTTCACAAAGACCACGCGTCGAGGAGTGTCTGGCTCGTCGTTGTTGTTGCCGCCGGGTCGGCTTTGGTTGTTCCCGGCGCCGCTTGGCTTGGAGTAGAGTCGCTTGACGCGTTCTTTCAGGTGCTGCATTGCGAGTCGAATTCGCCCGCAAGCGGTGGGGGCATTTTCTGAGCGCCGCCGCTGCGAGTTTGCTTCTGCCGACCAAATATGGCCGTCCGCTGGTGATTGATCGTCTGCCGCAACTGCAGTGTCGTCGTCTTCGTGACTGTGATCTCTGCGAATAGCGTTGTTGTTGTCAGAATATTTGCTGCTGGTGGAGGGCTGCTCTTGGCTCCCTTGGTTTGGATGCGGCAGGGAAGACCGAGATGTATCACCACTGCGACCTTCCTGGCGTTGACTGCGCAAACGCTCACTCCCGCCGCTGCGTCTGCCACCTCCGCCTCCTCGTTGAGTACGTGCGCTGCTTTCTGGGAACAGGACGATGGGGTCTGGAGGCTCCTGATCCTCGGTGCCGGGCCTCCGCATCTCGATCGAGTTGGAGGCGTTCAAGTTGGAATCTTCCTCGTTCATCATTCTCAGGTTTTTTCGGGTAGTTGTGAGGAATTTCTGCCCAACACAATTGATGAATGATTGTTATTTTGATGTGTTTGAGCTCTTCCTAAAGTGCGAATGGCTTTTGGACCCGTGGACTGGTACTAGCTTGTCGGGACGATTGCTTCGCGACACACTGTTGGTCACCCCAGTTTTGAATGAATTCTGCGAACTTTTCCGCTTCACGGATTTCTGCTCGACAAATTTGTTTAAGCACTCAAGCACAATGCACCCTATCAAAATCTCCATCCTAGGACCGCAATCTCGACCAGTAGCCGATCAGCAGCAACGCAAACCAATTTGGCGTTTGCCGATTTCGTGTCTCCCTGTCGGTTGCATCGCACGAACTCCCATTTTTTTGCAATTACAAAGTAAACTATATTTCCGAGTGATTGTCCATTGTAATGTCCGTTCTGAACAGTTCACTCTTTCTCAGAATGTCGTGCGCAGTCCGTGCATTGTGGATTATTTCGCTCCCAACCGGAAAGCTTCTCGTCGCAAGGCAAGAGTCGAATGCGGTTTGCTTGATGATGATGATGATGATGATGATCATGATCATGAGGGACGGTCGGACTGACTTGCCTTGATCTGGTTGCGTGTATTGGGATCAGGCGCTATCCGACGGTTGAGCGCCGCGCCAAGCTGCTCGCTGCGTCGTCGCCAAGCGAGAGCGCTGCTTCCGCTACATCGCCCAGCACTAATGCTACTACTACTACTACTACTTCATCGACTACGACGACAGCAGCCGGCACGACGGGCGCTTACACGCCGCTGATGGACGATGCGCGCCTCGTTCCACAGATTGCCGCTGCACTCGCTGCCCAAGGTGGAGGAGCCGCAGCCGCCACGTCCAAGCAACCATGCGACAGTTCGGATCTATGGCCCGTGTTCTCCGTGTCCAACGGCGATATCTGGCCTCTCGTCGCTGTTCGCCAGGTTTGCGCGTCTTTCAAGCGTTTGCAGTTCAATGTACTTGCGTGTTACTCACTCCGGCCATCCAAACTGCAAACATTACAGAATGACATGGCATTTGTTTGTCTGCCTCTGATTGAGACACCCGGTTTGGTTCGGACACCGCTGGTGGAGCTGTAAGCCTGCCTTTGATTTGTGTTTGCTTCTAGTCGTTGCATTTGGCCACCTGCTCACGTTCCTGCGCTCTCACCATCCGACAACAGGCCCTCCATCACAGTAGGCGTGACATTGATGCACGATCTCGCCACGGCTGCTGGTCCTGGCCTGTTAACCGACACTGTAAGGCTCGATACTTTTTGGTTGTCACCCGGCAGAACAGTGCGGAACAGAAACTGACCGCCATATCGCTCGGATTCGTGCAGACTGGCATGGCAGCGAATGAAGTGTACAACTTTTTGTGTGTGGCGATGCCTTTTGGCGCCCCGCTCGATACGAGCCCGTCCAACGTTCGCAACCTTCTTACGACAAAGTTTCCTCCAAAGGCCTCCGCTGAGAAGGTACAACGCTCGACCTGTGTTTTGTTTTTGGCTATATTCCCCATTCCTGCTTTTGTGAAATCTCACACTGTTCTTGAAATCAACAGCAACCTGCTTGGAAGCCCGTTCTGTTCAAAGGCAAACAACGAATTGTGTTTAATGTTTCAGAGACGGTGCGGGCAGTGCAGTACGACAATCCTGAAGTGCTGGACGAGTGGGAAGCGTTTGGAACGATCCAATGCAAGGTATGTCTTTTGCAATTTGTGAGACTGTCTTGCCGAAAAATTATTGATGAGTGATTCTTGAAATGCCGCCAAAGGCCGAAATCGAAGGGCTTCCTGAAGTCACCGTCTCTCTGAGCTCAACTGCGGGTATTGATCAAATCTCGGTTGATCCGTGCGTGCTGAGCAACAATGACGCGCAAGTCAGCGGCGGGTCAACCGCCCAAGCGAGCGTGCTCAGCAATCGCAAGCTCTCCTTTGCACCACCTCTCGAAACTTTCTCCTTGTGTCACTATCGAGCATCGGGTATCAAAGAGCTACCGATTCGTGGATTCTACCAAATGAAGGTATGGGCGATTGCTGTTGTTTCTGGCTTGCCCGGAATTTCGTTGGAAGCATTCCTATGCGACCTTCCTCGCGTCTCTGCTCACCATGGTCCACCGCAATTGACAGGAGGCTGGTGAAAACATGATCAAACTTCTCGTCCAGCTCAAGCTGCATCAGCGCGTGAACAACCAATTCGACTATTGCGAATTGCGTGTGCCGTTTTTCAACCGGTAAATTGTTTCCGTCTTCTCGAGTGACTCTTGGTGCGCAACGACTCCATACTGACGCGAGTGTGTCTCTTTTTGGTACTATTTAGTGGTATCATCCGCAATTTTGAAGCTGCACCAACAGGCGGAACGGTCACGCTTTCTGCCAGTCAAAGGATGCTTGTCTGGAACATCGGTAGCGCTCGCATCAGAGTGCCTCTCTGCTGTCGTCGCAGTTTGCGTGTTTCGCGAACATTGTGTCGGTGCTGTCCTGACTTGGCTGTTTTTTTTTTTTTTTTTTTTTTTTTTTTTTTTTGGCGTGATTGCCAAATTATTAGGTCAAAAGTTTACAGGACGCAACTTGGAAGTCTCGCTGACTGCGGTCGTCCAGTTCGGCAATGCGCCAGGATTTGATCCTTCGGAGGGGATGAATGATAGCGAGTACCCACATGATCCTTTCTGTGTCGGACCCAATGCCTTTGTTGACGTAAGACGATTCGCCCCTTTTGCTTCATGGCTCTTGTGTGTGTGCGTGTCTGTTATCAACGCAGCGGAAGACTGACCCTCATCTGGCTGCTGACAATTTTCCGCTTGTTGACACACACTTTGCCAGCTCTTCTTCAAAATTCCCGAGTTTAATTTGAGCGGGTGCACCGTCGACCCAAAAAGCATTGTGTTGTATCCGTCCAACAAGATCAAGGCCGTCATCACTCGGGAGCTCACCGCCAGTTCGTACCGGATCTGGAATTCACTCGGCGAGGCGCGGGTGACCATCCAGCCACCGCCGCTGACCTGAAAAGCATGCAGGACCAGAGAGCACGAGTAGCGAGCGAACAAGAGCAACACCAAAGCGACCGCTCATCGTTCCGTCTGGTTGAAGGACCATGCACATTCATTATTACATACAATTGATGCTTGACACACTTCAAAAGTCCAAAAACAAAAGTCACATACTATCTAAGATGGAAGCGCACCGTATTGCAGATTCCAATTTTCGAACGACCGGAGACTTTCCCCCGACACACTGGGACGCACGTTTTTCATGGCGGCCTGGAAATCGCCAAGTTTCAAAGGGCGAATGTTTTCAGGACTAACAGTCAACACTCGATTGCCAAGCTCGCGAATCGGCCCAAGAGCGGCATCTTTGGCGAGCGCGGTCATGTCGCTGCCGCTGTAACCCTCCAGGTGCTTGGCAAGCTGGTCAATGTCGCGGTCGGAGAGCGCATGCCGACCCTTTTTGAGCAAGCTTTGCACCATGGCGACGCGTGTGCGCTGGTCAGGCAGCGGGATGTAGACGCGCTTCGGCATCCGTCGACGCGCAGCTTCGTCCAGGTCCTGCGGGCGATTGGTGGCGCCCATGACCAATACTCGCTCGTCTGGTTGTGTCCCGACACCGTCAAAGCAGATGAGAAACTCGTTCTTTAGTCGCCGGCTCGCCTCGTGCTCGTTGCCGCCGCCGCGTTCCGCCAGGATGGAGTCGATTTCGTCTGCTCAAAGCAAGATGGTTGAGTAAAGGGCGTTTTTTCACTCACTTCATCCACACACGCCAAACACGAGAACGTCACACACCGATGAATATTACACTCGGCTGCAGTTCGCGCGCCATGGCGAATAGTGCTCGGACCATCTTCTCGCTGTCACCAACCTAAAGTCAAGACAAGAGAAAGAGATGGGGCGAAACAAACAAGAGAAAAACCAAAGGTCAGCACCTGAAATCGAACGGCAAAGCGAAGCAGACCAAGAAACACGTTACATATTTGGAAGACAGGCTGGACGCAGTAATGTTGAAAAACTTGGCCTTGGCTTCATGGGCGACTGCCTTGGCAAGCATTGTTTTTCCTGTTGAGGCAACCACCAGAATCGGCCATGAGCGAGTTTTTCCCGACACAAACAAATCAAAATCCTCCTCTTGAAAACTCGCGCAAACAAAAGTGGTCGTTGTCAGCGGGACACCATTGCGTACCGTTTCCGGGAGGACCAAACAGCAGCAGACCACGGGAAGGAGCCAGCAACCCTTGAAACACGTCGGGTCGGAGCGATGGGAGAATCACGAGCTCGTTCAGGAGACGCTTGGCCGTGTCGAGGCCGACAACATCGTCAAACGTGATTGGCGGGCCGTTGTCCACAATTTCATTCAGAATGTGGTCGGCCATCTTGGGATCGATGTTCACCAGGTTTTTGTTGACGGCTGGCGCAGCCGCAGCAGCGGCAACGGCAGGAGCGGCCTTGGGGGCAGCAGAGGTGGCTGCCGGAGGTTTCGTAGCTTGCCGAGGTAAAGTGGCAGCTCGAGGTGCAGGCGTAGTCTATGCAAGCCAAAGGCGAAACAATCAGACTCGAGCACTGGACTCCTCCTCCTTCTGCAGGGCACAGTTATCAATCTTACCTGACGAGCTGGTGGTTGCGACGAGGCAGTCTTTTGGGCGGGAACCCCGCTGGCCTGGTCTGCTCTCAAGTCGCGAACCCGCTCTTGCACCTGAACTCGTGTCTTCTCCATGCTCTGCTGAAGATGCTGCCCTTCAGCGCGCTCTGCTTCCGAGCAGTCTGCGGCGGAGGTCGGGTCAAAGCGGATGCTCAGCCCGCTCTGCAGCTCATTTAGTCCGCGCTGGTACACTTCCAGAGCATGGTGGCGGTTTCCCGCCTCGTCCAGAGCCAGTGCGCGGGCGATGGAGTCGAAGGACTGCTTGTGGAAGTAGTTGAGCCGGACGAGCGACTGGCCAGACTGGGCCTGCGGAGGGCGGCTGCGCTGCTGCGGCGCCGACGAGCTAGCCATGCCGGCGGTTCCCTGCTGTGACGACGACGACGACGACAAAAATGAGGAGGAGAAGGACGCGCTTGCTCCGGCTGCGGCAGGGCGTGAATGAAGCGAGTTGCTGCTCGATGATGACGTCAGTGGGCTTCCACGAGTAGCTTGCCCTGCGCCCAAAGCTGCACCAGTCGCACCAGGCGCACTACTACTAGCAGGCGTAGTGTCAGCAGAGGCAGAGGAGGACGACGACGGCGGCGGCGGTGCGTCGGTCAATCCAAAGAAGCGTCCCAAGCGATCAAACCAGCCGGCTTCCTCTTGTCCAGCCTGTGCCTGAGCCTGAGCGGGATTTGCTGCGGTCGACGACGTTGTCGCTCACGTTATGACGATTGCTGGGAGGGACGAATTGGAAGGAGTTGAGTGAGAAAGGGAACTCGGCGAGCGACAAGCAAAGGAGGACTGGAAGCGTCGCGTGCGTTTTCTGAGCATGTCAGAGCAATGGAATGGTGTTGAATTCGAACAGTAGAGGTGAAATCATACAAATTGCCTTAGATTTCAATTTTCACTCCTCAACCAAGTCTCAGAAATCTAGACCCCATTCGCACGTCATTCATTCTCACTCTTGACCAACCAACCACACACTCACACTCCTCCCCTACCCCAATTTTGGCACAAACCAAAAGCCACGCAAACACGATGGACGCGACGGGCGTCTTGCGGATTGGCTTCCTGGGTCCACAGGGCTCGTATACGCACGACGCGGCACTGATTCTCGCTCGGCAGCTCACCGATCGCATGTCGCTGCCGTCGTGCTCGCGAGCTGCCTTCGAAGTCGTGCCCTGCGAGACAATCCCAGCTGTGATTGCCAGCGTCGCGACGAGCAGTCCGAGCTCTGGCCATCCTCACAGCAGCAGAACAATGATGGCTGGCGTTGTTCCGATTGAAAATTCAACCGAAGGCTCAGTCACGGCGACCTTGGACGAATTTGTGCGCATTGCCACCGAGCGAGCTGCTGCTGCTGCTGCTGCTGCTGCTAATGCTGCTGCTTCTCAAAGTCAAGATCAAGAACAAGCAAGGCGAACGAGCGTCAAAATTTGCGCGGAACTCCAGTTACCGATCGTGCACTGCCTCGTCCAAAAACGACAATCTGAAACTCCAACGTTGGAGCGGACGGTCAAGCGCGTTTATAGCCATCCGCAGGCGTTGGCGCAATGCCGTGAATGGCTTGCACGCAACCTGCCTGGAGCCGAGCCCGTTCCCGTCGCATCCACTGCTCGAGCGGCCGAGTTGTGCCAAAACGAGCCGGATGCCGCTGCGATTTGCTCGGAGCGATGCGGCCACTTGTACCAGCTCGACATTGCAGCCAGGGGCATTCAGGATCTGGACAACAACATTACGCGCTTTGTCCTGTTCTCACTGCAAGACAACGTCCTCCAAGCAGCACGCAATCTCACTCCGCGCGCGGTCTTGAATCAACCGCTCAATCCGAACGCAACCTCGGTTCGTCGGACGTTCTTGTGCTTTTCCCTGCCGCACACCCCTGGCGCGCTGAGCGATGTGCTTGTCGTCGTCAAGCACCATCACCTCAACATGTCCAAGATTGAATCACGCCCCGATCGGTCGACGCCTTGGCGGTACACGTTCTTGCTTCAGGTGGATGAAGATTTGCCCGGCGCGACCAGCAGCGATTCTGCTCCCGCCGAGCGACTTGCCGTGGCTATCGAAGAGATTCGAGCATCGCGCCTGTGTCTATGGCTCGATGTGCTGGGTAGTGCACAGTTGGCTTTGGTTTGATGTCGTTCTTTGCGTTTTTTTTTTTTTTGGTTGAGTTTTTTTTTTTTTGAATGTCTTTGACTCGCGATGCTGCAATCATAAATAAAAGCGAGTATCAACATACGTCCAGTCTTTGGATTTTCCACACCAAGCCGTTCTATCCTTTACGCGTTTCTCAGCACGATCGCATGGCTGCCATCGCCGGGCTGCGCGCCACACGCGGCTGGCTCAGCCGGGCCTCGCTGACCAACACC